TGCTGCAGCTGGTGGAGGTAGGCCCCCGCCACGGCGCGGGCACACAGGGCCAAGGGGACCCCGCAGGAGCTGGGGCCTCCGTGGTGCCCAAAGACAGAGGAGTGTGTGGACACACTGGAGCTCGTCACGCAGCCCACACTGTTCAGAGCGGGGCCCTCCTGAGAACCTCCTAAATATTCATGTCAACCGTGACTAGCTTGTCCTCGTCCCAGGGTGCAGGGCGGGCTAGCGATCATGATGTCACGCCTGTAAAGAAGGCTAGAGGTAGTCACGGTGTCACGTCAGAGCCGCACAGAGGTAGGCCCGTCACGTCAGAGCCACACATAAGTTAACCAAGAACCCACAGAGCTTGAGGGTTTGGTTTGATTTCTAGATTAAAAAATCTGTGGAATCTTAAAACAATTGCTTGGGTAGCTTGTCTCAGACTTGCTATGTAGACAGTGCCCTAGATAGACAGGGACGAGAGCAGTCTACACGGCCATCACTTCTCCAGCTCCTAAAATAAAGCCCGAGAGCAGACCAGACACGTGTGCGGGGAGGTCTGTGCCCACCGGCTTCCTGAGAAATAGAGTGGCGGGTACTGTCTCACCAGGGGGACTGGAGTGTATCAGCTGCTATTTTGTAACTGAAGAAATTGAAGGGAAAGGAAAAACTGGGAGTGAAAACCTGTGGCGTGTCTGCTCAGAACGTGTGGCGTGTCTGCTCGGAACGTGTGGCGTGTCAGCTCGGAACGTGTGGCGTGTCTGCTCAGAACCTGTGGCGTGTCTGCTCAGAATCATGAGGAGCTCCTGTCAGAAGTTTGCGAATGCTGGCCGCAATGCAGTTCCGTGTTTTCTGTGTCATGCACACTCACTGTGAGTATGATTTCTTAAGGCCTGGCTGGAAAGAACCCCGGGTTTGGAGCCGCACGGATTTAACTTCTGGGGGAAGTTTGAGAAGAACATTGTCAAAGGCCTCGAAGAGGAGTTCGTGAGGATTCAGGTACCTTACGCTGCCAAGTGCCAAGTAAATTTCCTGCAGGAGCTTCAGAAAGTTGATCGTACAGTTTTTTCCCCTAATCTCTTAATCTTTCATTCCCATGATGTTCCTTTTTCAGGAATATATTATTTTGGAATGTATTTTATGGCTGATTGATTTTATGTGCAGTAACAGTTATCCCGAATTCAGGCTCTGAATGCAGTCAAGGTTTTTGGCAATGACACATAACTGAGCTTAACGACACTCCACCTCTGCTGAAAACGCTGTACCATCACCAGTTCTGAGCAGAGCTAGGCAATCGAAGCACCAGCCAACCAGGCCTATTTACCGATGTGGGCTCACGGGCTCAGTCCCCTCCCCTTACAAACCCTGCTGCCCTCCTTTTGCACGGAACCCACGTCCCTGTGCCTGTCACCACCTACAGGGAGACGCGTTTGCTGGAGAGCACGTCCACCAGGAGCTGAGAGCCTCTGTGGTTGGAGAGGTTGGAGCATTTTGTTTGCTTTTACCACAGGGAGCTTGTCCTAGCCAGAGATAGAGACAGTGACACACAGAGAGAAGGAAAGTGAGAAATCACCCCCTGCCTGAGGGGGATGACCACTCCACAATCCCTTCTTCTCCAATATCCTCTTGAGATTTTGGTCACACTCGCACACAGGCCCAGTGTGATTTTCAGGCTGCAGGGTCAGGGACTCGAACTGCAGTCTGCCATGTGGGAGTTCAGCACCTTAACATGCACGCCACCTGCCGACTGGCCAGATTTGGGGTTCTGAAGGGCCCAAAAGGGCAGCTGTGGGTGCCCACTCTTCAGGTCACAGCACAGAGGGAGGGGAGGGGTGGTGACGGGCCGGGGAGGCGGGGCCCTCTGCCCTTGGTAGCCCCAGTCCCGCGTCCTACCCTCCTACCTCTGACGTCAGCTGCTCGTCACTTCTAGAGCTTGGCCTCAGCAGCCGAGGGGCAGCGTGACTGCAGAGTCACCCGGCCACGTCCCGCTAACCCCACAGATGCTATTGCGTCCCCTCGATGGGCAGGCCTCTCCTCCCATGACTGCATTTCTTGAAAAGTTGTGTCACTTCCGTCTCCCGTGAGGCTGCAACATGAACTGTGAAGCCGCAGCCTGTGGGTCCGCGTCCACCTGCCTGCCAGCGCCGTGATGGTGCCCAGGGACTATGGCGTGTTCATCCCCCTGGGGTTGATTTCTCACTTCTCCTCTCACTGTCTCTCCCCGTTTCTCTAGCAATTGCACGCACCGTATGGCAAAAACCTTAAAGAAAATTTAAGCTTCAATAAAAGGATAGAACCAGGGCAGATAGGGACGCCCCTCCTCATACTGAGTAATCTTGTCTCAACATAGACGGTACGGCGGCTACCCCAAGCACGCCCTTCCTGCAGCGGCATCTCTCTCACAAGCAGAGTTCTCTAAGATAGGAGCCTGCCCCTTCCCCAGGAATGTTAATGCTGTATCTTCTCCAAAGGGCAAAGAGGACTCAGAAGAGAAGGAGGAACAGATGGCCGAGTTTCAGAAACAGAAGGAAGTGCTCCTATCTCTGTTCGACGAGAAACGCCATGAGCACCTCCTCAGCACAGGTGCGTCCTGCCCTGAGGCTCCCCCAGGCTGCGCGAGGTCTTCGGAGGCCAAGTTGTGCCTAGGTGTCAGGTCATTGCTGCCAAGATAAACCAGTGCTCACTGTGATTTTTCACAGGCGTCTTCAGGTACCCTCATGTGTGCAATCATGATACGGTTTTGTAACGCAGCAAGCGTGTTTCTGGAGAGTGACGTGGGCATTCTAGTTACAGACATGAGATCAGGCCGTTTCTCTAGCAGCGGGGTCCGTGCCCGGTTCTTTTCCAACGCGGGGGCAAATCTTTCGTAGTATGTGGCAGGCAGGAGGGAGGCCGCCTCGGACCAGACACGGCTCTCAAGCAGCCACAGCTGACAGGGACGGGGTGACGAGAAATCCTGCGAGGTGAGGATGACGGTGGCAGAGCTGGCAGGAGTCAGGGCCACAGCCAGACCTGGCTCCATAGGAAACGTCTGCCCCACGAACCAGGACGGGTCCACGGCGGACACCGAGCTAGAGCTGGACAGTCGTGTCTCCACACCGTCACGCTCACCTTCCTGTTCGGACGCATCGTCACGCCCTCTTAGAACTGCTGTTGGAAAGCGCCCAAGGCCTTTGTGGAAATAGGCAGGGTAGGAGTGAAAACTAACGTCTAGAATCTGGGCTCAAGGCACAGTAGTGCATGGGATCCGGCTAACCTCCGCATTAAAGGGTATTATTCCGGGAAAAGGAGCAGCAGTGAAAGCAAGCAGCACAGACGGCCCAAGGCGTGCGGCTGGCCGGTGCTGTGGCCGGGCGGAGGCTTTCGCTGGAGCACGTTGGAGACGTTAGGTCAGCCCGGGCCCTCGTAGCCAAGTCACAGTGACGTTACGAGAGGGAGTACTTTCACATAAAGCCAGGAATAAACTGCGCTTCACTCTGAAAACTCAGTCATCACTGTACTTTCACTGGAAAACGCATCACATTGTGGACATCATCTATTTTCTTTTTTAAAAAACGAATTATTGGGAACCAGCAGTTAGTGTAATGGCTGTCGCTGGACTCCCACGTAGTCGACCGCAGTTCGCATCCCGGACCCGATGGCTTAGAACTCACGCCGGGCGCATGTGCATGCGTGCGTGCCCAAGATCCCGAGAGGAGAATGGAGGAGAAGGGATTGCGGCGCGACCATCCCCCTCTGGGGGGTGATTTATTGCTTTCTGTCTCTATGTCTCTCTCTGTCTGTCTGGCAAGTACACGCGCCCTATAGTAAAAAAAAAAAAATTATTTATTTATTCATTTACTTATTTATTTTAATTTGACCAGAGAAGGACAGATGAGAGAGACAGAGAGAAAGGGAGAGATAGAGAGAGGAAAAGTGAAAAACAAGCTGGCAGGTCCAGGACTCAAACCGCAGTCAGCCATGTGGGAGTCCAGCGTCCTTAACTGCCTCCTGCTGGCCCGATATGACCTGTTTTCTATTCAGGTTTTCTTAACATGGTGTTTAAATACGTAAGTGCAGCCGTGTGTGTGTGTGTGTAGACACACAGCCGCATGCCATGGACTGACTTTATATGTATTTCATTTGTCTTTTAAAACCCAATGTTAAAATAATGTTGTAAATGATAGGTTTCCAAATTAGAGCTAAGGGACAAAAACATGACGTGACGCGTGTGTTCCTCCACTCACGGAGCAGGGTGCTGTTTAGGTGCCCGGGGCGTGGGCTGAGCGGGTGCAGTGACGCCTATGTGCCTGCAGGGGGGCGGGCTGGTCAGGTACAGTGACTCCCATGTGCCTGCAGGGGGGCGGGCTGGGCGGGCACAGTGACTCCCATGTGCCTGCAGGGGGGCGAGGGTGAGCGGGTGCAGTGACGCCCCTGTGCAGTGACAAGCTCTCTGCCTCCAGGGGAGCGGCGGCTGTCCTACCGAGCACTGCAGGGGGCCCTGATGGTCTACTTCTACAGGTAAGGCCGCTGGATGGGGCGAGGTGCCTGCGGACGCTACAAGGGCAAAGCCCACATGTCAGCCTCGAGCGTTAGTACTGCAATTATCTGTCGGAGAAAACTGAGAGAAACAATAGTGAAGTTCCATGAGCTCTAGCTCTTTATAAAATCTTTTTAAATAGCGAGGGTATAACTCTACCCCTGTGGAGGGTTACACAAATGATCCAAACACCATTCATACTAAATTCGACAGAGAATTATAGTAAGTGCCCTTAAAGCCGTGGTTTGCTCTCTGTCTCAGACATGGCCATGTGTGTGTCATTAAACCACGCTGCAGTGTCGTTCCTGCGTTGCAAACTGGAAAAGGAGCCCCCTAAGCGGTTGCTCGGTGACCCAGCAATCCCAGGTGGGATGGCCCTCACCGTGTGACGTCACTGAGGGTGCCTCGTCCGTGTGCGAGATGGTCCCCCTGCAGGGCTCCTGAATTCAAGGGTCTGAACATGAGCCGGGGCCCAAGCACCCACGCAGACGCAATGTCTCATTCTGAGCACCTGTTGTAAAAATTCTCTCAAATTTTTCTTTAGAATGGTAACATGAACAGAATCTTTTGAAATTTTTTCTCAGTCAATGTATTCCAGTCTGTCAAGCGTCCCGAGTAAAAGTACCCAGGAAGTGCAGAATCGGAGAGAAGGGAGCAGCACATCCCACCTGCTGGCAGCCGGGTGTGCGTGTCGGGCTGTCGCCGGCCACACTCAGACAGTGTGGCTAGGCGTGAGCTCGGAGGCGTGCGTCTGGCCCTCACTGCACGCACATCATGGGGTCCTCTAGACACAGGAACGCTGCAGCTGGGCCGGGAACAACAGGGAGGCTGGGTGGGCGAGGGGGCCCGGATGGCCACTGTGCCGGGAGGCAGCACGGATGCCGTTCCTGCACCCGGCTGCCTGGACAGAGCTCTTGTCTCCCCTCAGGGAAGAGCCCAGGTTCCAGGTCCCCTTCCAGTTGCTGACATCGCTGATGGACATCGACACACTCATGACCAAGTGGAGATGTGAGTCCCCTGCCCGCTCGACTCGCCCCCTGCTGGCTCGTCAGACTTGCTCACTGAGGCCGGGGTCGCTCTCAGAACCAGGGCCACGCGGAGGCTGGGTCATTCTCTTGGGCCAGGCGGCTCTCGGAGGCTGGGTCATCTTGGAGGCCAGGTCGCTCTCAGGCCAGGCGTCCAGCTCATACAGCAGCAGAGCGCCCAGAGAGCTCTGGGAACATGGAAGTGTTTGGTTCTGTCTTACAGGGGGACTTCAAGACATTCATGAAAAAACGAAATTGAGTACTGAGTTAATTTCAATGCCAAAATTTCCAAAATATATGCAGAGTATTTATTTTTCCAAAGATGTATTTTCCATGGGCTTTTTTCTTTCTTTCTTTCTTTTTCTTTTTTTTTTTTTTTTTTGAGAGGTTTTTACTACAGGGCACGTGTGCTTGCCAGGAAGACAGATAGAGAGATAGAAAGTGAGAAATCACCCCACAGGGGAATGGCCACACTGCAATCTCTTCTCCTCCATTCTCCTCCTGGCATTCTGGGCACACACGCACACGTGCCTGGCATGAGTTTAAGTCACCAGGTCCAGGACTCGAATTGTGGTCTACTACATGGGAGTCCAGCAACACAGCCATTATGCCAACTGCTGGTCCCTCCATGGGCTTTTTGGAGATGCACACAATCAGAAAGAAAAAAAAAGAACTTCAGGTCAAAGAAAAAAATGCACATTACTATTGTGCTCGCTGTCAGCCAGTTCAGTCTGGGGTGCAATTATTTATGGATGTATGGACGTACACACTCCTGCAAAGCGGAGGTGACCGGCGAGGCGGTGGGAGGGCTGGCCCTGCTCTGTCCACGGTGCCCTCAGGTCTGGTCCCAGGTGTGGGGTGGGTACACGCAGCCTGGAGCTGCCTGCAGGGAGCAGGCCCTCCCATGGCTCAGTGGTAGGAGGCAGCGCCCCCTAGAGCCCACTGTGGGCTCACGTGGACGGCCAGTGTGAGCGCATGTCCTGTGTCTGCCTAGATAACCATGTGTGTGTGGTGCACAGGATGCTGGGCAGCAAAGCCGGCACCGGAGGGTCCTCGGGGTACCAGTACCTGCGCTCCACCGTCAGGTAGGTGCCGCGGCCTTCCCTCTTGGGGCACCAGGCCGTGTCTCCTCACACACAGGGATTGGAGGAGCCACGCGTGCACACTCCTGTCAGCACTGACACGTCTGTGTGGTATTAAGGCATGTCCACCGGGTCCCTTGGAGGTAAATGCATGACGTGCTTTTTATGGGACTCCATGGCTCTCCCAGTGACGAGAGGGCGGGGTGGTGATGGCTGCCTGGCTCGCAAGGCGAGAGAAACAGCAGAGCCCCACCAGGCGTGAGGCCTCCCTACGCTCCGGCTCAGGTTTGAGCAGATGCTGCCTTCCTGGGATCCCACTGGCCAGACAGTGGCCGGGCATGGCAGGCCCTTCTCCCTGGTCCTGTGAAAATGCGTTCGTGTCCTCCAGAAAGCACATTTTCACAGGGCAGACAGCAAAGGGCTGACAGTCACTGAGGACCCCAACTGTGCCAGTCCTACGCATGTGACAGTGTGGGCAGGCAGGCATGGATGTGTCTGGAGCTCTGTCTGCACAGTTTCCACCCCTACCCTCCTCCCAGGCCGGTGGGTGTGGAAATGCACAGGGCCAGGCTTCCCTCTCACATGCCCCAGTGACCTGGGGTGAGTGTCCTGCGTGCAGAGCGGCATGTTGTCTGTGCATGACGTCAGTGGCAGTGGTCGTGGGAGCGAGGAACACAGACCCCGGCCAGAGGGAGGAACGCAACTTCTATCGCAGAGTCAGGGTCAGGCACTGACGTCGAAATGCCTTGTCCAAGGCCCTCGGTCGTGGGTGAGAGCCAGGATTCAAACCCAGATTTGACTTAAAAGGCAAATGTTCTCCCTACGAAACTGCTGCAGTTGAGATGTTTGAAACACACAAACACAATTTTGATGTCAGATCACACTGATGCACGTTTGTTAAGAAGTGAGGTGGTACTGACTGGCTCATCCTTCACGGCGCTGCTTCGCAGCTGACGATCTTCCAGTGGGCAGCTAGGCGCGCTGTGCTGTGTGCTGACGGCATCCTGGTTCGATGAGGCAGCTGGACCGAGTCAGCCCTGGCCTGTCTGGTGCCCCGGTCTGTGCCAACACATCTCCCTGCTTCGTGGCGGGCCGAGGCCGTGTGCTTTGGGTATGAGATAGACTGGCATCTGAACCCTTGCACCTCGTCAGACCTAGCATAGCATGGCACGCACACGGAGGACGTGCAGCGGGGCGTGACATAGCACACGACACGCACACACACGGAGGATGTGCAGTGGGATGTAACAGCACACGACAGGCACAGAGGACGTGCAGTGGAATGCTCCTTCTTTTGGAAAGCATCTTTTTTTTTTTTTGGAGAGGTTTTTGCTATAAGGCGTGTGTAC